ATAAAAATTTTTTTTTTTTTTTTTTTTTTTTTTTTTTTTAAGAGGAAGATGGATTTTATAACCTACTCATCCGCGGAACCCATAAGGACAGTTTATTCTAGCACAACATTCTTTAAAAAAAAACTCAGAAACATCACATTAAATCAATGATGATATTCAAGCCTTCTGAGCTGAGTAGCCAAGGATCAAGTCACGAATCTCTTCACTGTTAGCTCTGTCAAGAGCGTTTCTTCCATCAGCATCCTTGACAGAGTAGCTAGCACCAGCTCTAAGCAGCTCCTCGATCTTAGGTTTGTCACCTTCCGTGGCTGCTAACATCAATAGGATATCGACTGGATGAATGTTTAGGTTAAGTAGTGCTTCCATCTTAGAATAGGTGCCTTCTACCGCAAGCATCCCCATGTAATTGAAATACTGCAATAAACATCAAGACTCTTCATATTGTAATAAGTTCTTGATGTAATAAAAAAGTGAGATGAACCTAAAAGGATTTGAATTTGAAGAAAAATCAAACAACAATAGATTACTATTTTAGAACACTATCTTAGATATATACATAAGTTCTTATATCGTATTTATTAATTTATGATATTATTGAGATCATAGATTTACCAGGAAAATTTTAAAATATTTTTATTTTATAATTTTTTGACTTGTATCATATTTTACACTAATTCAAATTAGAATTAACAAAATTTATTAATTTACAAAGATTATTAATTTATTGAGTATTAATTTATAAAATTTCTAGAGTTAACAAAAATTGTCACTTCTAGAGTCCTTATGTATACGTGATGTTGAAGACACATATGAACAAAAAGAAACGAAAAGATTATTTTAAAATAAACCGAAATAAGATACATGTCATAAGGTCACTCATAGAACGACACAAGACTTATTTTATGAGAATACACACACACAAATACCGAACACATATGTTTGGTAGATTAATCTAACATGGGAAGTAGCAGATGCACTTGTGAGCAGGGAAGACATAGTTGCAAGATCCATGTCGTGCTTTCTCAAGTCGAATGCACTGATCCTTGCACGCATTATTGTTTCCACAGACTCCTGACCATGTCCCACTTGGCCTCTCGCACAACTTCGCTTCCACCATGGTTGGTGCTTCTGCATAAGTATACCTCAAGGTTAGTTAGTAATTACATAAACAGAAATTCATCATTCATTTTTCCATGCATTAAGATTCATATTACTTACCAAAAGCAGCAAAGAAAACAAGAGAAGCAAAGAGAAGGCTGACGATGGTAGCAAACTTAGCCATGACTATGAGACTATCTATGTATATGTATGTTTTATCTTTTATGCTTAGTGTGAAGAAATAAGCCTAAGATAAACATATATTTATAGTGAAATGACTGAGTGTCTTTTACGTTTCATAGTACAATAATCTTTTCTAACCCAAATAATTTTAACACACGTATCATCTTCTAGTAGAAAACACGAAAACGTAAGACGCTAATTAATGTAGACGACAAGATGTTGATCCATTCATGGAGGGTTTTCTACACCACGTGTCTGCCTATGTCAGAGGCTGTCTCTACATACCGTAACCTTGCCGACTAGTTCGGCTTCGAGTCAGTGCTCCTATGTCCCACTGGCGGCTAGTTGATTTTTTTTTTCATCATAGATAAGTTAATTTGACTTTGTCAAGAAGATGAAAACTATTGAACCGTTGGTTCAGTTTAATATTCTGAATGGGAGAAAAATGGGAAGGAACTCAGTAGCTATCTGATGCACCTGGCGCCGTTGATACAAGCCATGTGTAAAGCTTGTCATATTTGATGGCTGGTTTTGGGTTCACGGATTCAACGATTCAAATTGGAAATATGAATATGGATTACCAACACTCAAAGCCCAAAAGGCCCAAGGGACCAAGAAACTTGACTTGAGCGGTAACAAGCGTGGAGACAAAATTGCCAAGTTCTTGTTCTTTAACCAGAGCAAATCGTGTGTTTTCTTGTCAAAAGACGTGGCTAAAACAAAGCTGACAGTGTAGGAGTTTCGTACTAGATTAGATTGACTAGAGGTCCGATTGGGTTAAGACGTTGAAGGTTTTTTGGATTAGAATGTCTCTAACATCGTTTTTTACCCATCAGGTTTTTTTTTTTAAATAATTATTCTAAAATGTCGAAAGCCATTATAAGTTTCTCTTAATTTTTTTTCTTGTTCATTTGGCATTCATATTATACTATTAGTGAAATCATATATGTAATTCTTTAATAATAAGATTAGTGTATATTTTAAATAAAATATTTAATTATTATTCAAAACTTTTACAGTTTTAAATATTAATTTACTTTTAATAAAATTTAAACTAACAATTTTGTTTCAACATTCAAATTCTTTACAGTCAAAATTATGAAATCAAAGTATAAAGCGAAAGTCTTTATCAATTATAGTTTAGGCCTAAATATTTCACATGTCGACAGGAACGATCCAAACAAAATCAAGGTCATGTTCAAATTAGAAAATGGATGGGATCTTTTCTACTAACAAAATTATAATTAATTTCTGATTTTTTTTTTAACTTAAAAATTCATAAATGGTTAGATCATCTTCAATAGTTCACTCAAAAAAATTAAAATATAATAATTATATAATAAACAAGAAATATTATTAAAATTAAAATTGCGAACAAAAAATAGATAGATTAATTTATATATAGAGTTAGCCTATTTTATTCTATTATATAATAAACAATAAATATTATTAAAATATTTTTACTCTAAATTCTATTTTAGATTAGGAAATATAGTAAGATGGGAGATATTCTAGACATTATTTTAGATTAGGAAATATAGTTAACTCAACTTAAAATAATTCTGGTTATTGTGTTCAAAATCTTCGATTTTAGCAACCGCAAGGAATAAATAATTCTGGTTATTGGTTCAAGTTTGGGGGATTACGGAATTCTGTTCTGAACTTCTAGTATTCAAAAAGAAACTTTGATTCATCATGAAACCATAGTATTCTTCTTACCTTAAAACTAGAGTTTCCACTTTTATGTATACATCAACGTTGTAAATATAAGACATGTCATTTAACCCGTATAACATTAAACGACTCTGCTATTTTGAAATACTGGTGTTGCCTCTTCAAAATATATAAATAAGGGGAATTGGGCTGTATAGCATAGAAAAAAAATGAAATTCACCAAATAGCTAATTTATCTAACAGTTCTATACACACCGTTATATTTATATAATAATACTGTATTAACCTTCTTTTCCACCGGCACAACCTGTAAAGTAACAAAAATTAATGAATAATTATTGATTGTGAAACATATTACGTGGTTCTTTGTTACTCACACACACTAACAAAATAAGTTTTTCATTGTTAATAATTGAAAAAGTGAATAAATTCTTCAAAAATATATTTGAGCGACGAAGACGTTGTCAAAAAGTTTTGTGGAGGAGGAGAACGGTTTAGGAAGCTTTGTTGGTGACGGAAATGAGAGGCTTCTCAAATTCTAAAAGCAATAGTAGCAGAGACACTGAAACAGTACGTATCTGAATTTACAGGAAATTTTTATTGTATGTGGAAGAAGATGAACAGTTACTGTATTCTATTCTATTCTATTATACGCATATAAAATAGAAGTAAAATTATCATGTTCCATTCTATTTTACTCACAAATATGTACTATTCTATCTATTTTGTTCCATTCTATATGGGTTTAGGGTCTATATTTGGGTTTAGTAATTAGGATTTAGGGTTTAGTATTTGGAAGGTGGGGTTGAGGATTGGGTTTAGTGACCCTATCATGTATCGTTCCATTTGATGATTAATAAAGAGTGTTCTATTTTGCTCACCAATATGTACTATTTTATCTATTTTGTTCCATTCTATTTGGGCTTAGGGTCTATATTTGGGTTTAGGGTTTAGTGATTAGGATTTAGGGTTTAGTATTTCAAAGGTGGGGGTTGAATATTGGGTTTAGTGAACCTATAATTTATTTTTCCATTTGATAATTAATTAAGAGTGTTCAGTTTGCTCACTAATATGTACTATTCTATCTATTTTGTTCCATTCTATTTGGGTTTAGGATTTACACTTGGTTTAGGGTTTAGTGATTAGTATTTAGGGTTTAGTATTTGGAAGGTGGGGGTTGTGGTTTGGGTTGGGGTTGTGGTGGGGGTTGTGCTAAGGTTTATATTTATGTTTAGGGTTTATATTTGGGTTTAGGTTTACTGATTAGAGTTTAAAGTTTAGTATAGAGGGTGGATGGGACTGGGATAAGGTTTAGTATCTAAGAATTGGGTTTGGATATATTTAGTATATAAGGTTGTAGATAAAGTTATAATTCTATACTATATCAGTGATATAGAATAGAACATTGAGTAGATATATATGTGGTCAGTAAAAGTATACGTGGATGACTCTTTCTTCTACTGGTCACGTTATTCTTTTCCATTTTTTACCTGGTAACTGTAAAATTAAAGGACATAACCGGATAGTTTGTGGTATAAATGTTAGATATTAAATTATGTCAAAATCAATGTCATTTACCTAATTTATGTTCAAAATATAGCTAGTTGGCAAATAAGCCCTATAAATAAATCACAATTTATACTATGGCTATGAATGGAAAGGCAGAACAAATGCAGATCTCCTGCTTATGCAGTTTTCCTGCCCTGCTTTTGCCATTCATCATTTTCTGTTTCTAAAAGCAGTTCAAGCAGGAGATCTGCATGCAGTTCAATATTTCCTGTCTTTTTGTGAAAAAAGCAGGAGATCTACATGCAGATCTCACCCGCTAACATTTGTAGGTGTTGATCTGCTTTTTTCACTAAAAGACAAGAAATAATGTATAAAGATTAACTCAAACGATATAGTTCACACCAATATTATTTGTATCATTTTAAAATTATAAATATGACATTCAATCGCCTACAAAACACAATATTTTCCCAAGAAAAAAATATAATTTTCTTACATAAAATGAGTATTTTATTAAGCTGTACAATATTTTCAGCAAAAAGATAAAATCTTTATATATAAATATCAATAAATAGTTTAATATTAGCAATATGCTAGTTCTTCAAAGATAATTTTGATCAATTAAAACAAAAAGAAAAAATGTACAAACATCTTACGAAAAATTTAATTAACATTCGGCTGATCTTACAACATACAAGATATTTATTTTGATATTTTGGTATAATTTTTTATTGTTTAAATATATGATTTATAGTTTTGAACTGATTTTTTCATTCATAATATATAATAAACTGTTTGATCTGCATTTCTTCTGCATGATCCGCTTGATCTTCACTTGTCCCGCTTGATCTGCATTTGTCCTGCTCGATCTGCATGAACCGCTTGATCTGCACCGTTTGATCTGCTTTTACCATTCGAAGCCTATATAGTTATCAGCC